TTTCAAGATAATCTGAAACAACTTTGTTACGACGTGCGCTTGAATAAATGATTTTGGGAAGCGAGCAACAAACTAGGACTGAATGGTTTGCAGTGATCTCGGAATGAGGTCTTGTGTGAGTAGATCCATATTTAATATATTTTGGGGCCTTTAGGTATTACCTTGTGACCTCTAGGCGTTTTTTGGGTGATCTTGGATGTAAACCAAGATCGAAGTAGCTCCCAACGCCCAGTCGGGCAAGCGTGGCGGTTTTTAAAATAAATGGCCAAGTCACTGCACTCTACAGTTACGAAGTAGTGACGATGTGAAGTGGTTCCCAAGTAGCATTTTGTTCCATTTAAGAGTACACATTTAGTTCCAAGGTGAACTTAAAGCATTACTACAGTTCACTCGTGATGTATTAGCTGCATTATTGCAATTAATTACACCTATACCTGTCTAAGGGACTTATAGGAGTGTAGAGTAATACTTTTATACGATTATGGGTGTTATAATACTCCAACAACTATCCTTTAGTCAGCTTTCTGACTAAGAGCATTATAGGAGGGTAGAGATATGGCAACCGCTGTTTAACGGCCTACTTGTTCGATGTTATAGAGCTAGCATTTTAATAGAACACTTGTGGTCATTTATAAAGCCAAAGGCTGTTATGTTTACTTGTTTTAGACTGTTATACAGCCAGTAGCTGCATTAGGACTTTTTGTGATACTTAAAATAACCTTTTTTTACTATCTGTACAGAAGTATTTAAATGATTCATATGTGGACTGTAGGCTGTTAGAAGGACTATATGTGTTGTCCATTAACATCAATAGCAGTTTATTTGTCCACAAGTACTACTCTTATTTGCTGTAAGCTGAACATGAATGTGAATGTGATATTCTATTACACTTTTTCCCAAGCGCCATTGCAACGTATGTTTTGACGTCACATGCAATAAAATTCGTGAAAATGTATAAAAAATCTTGGAAAATAAGAGCGAGAACCGGTGGTATAAGAAGAAAAATTGCAAAAGAATATTTAAAAATAAACAGTCGATTGACAACGACGCCCGGAAATGAGCCCGTCGATAAAGCTTCAACAAGTGCGACTTCAACCGTTGTTGGTGGTTCCGTACATGATGCAGAAGAAAATATTAAGCCTGAACCTGAAAGTTCCCTTCAAAATATACAGATATCAGAGTGTGGTGATTGCAGTTCTAGTGATAGTGAATACAATTTTGACTTGGATAATTATTTAACCTTTGCAAAAAATAAGAACATAAGCTATTGAAAATCGTATTCCTCATTCTGCTTTGAATAAATTGTCAGATATAATAAACGAATTTAAACCAGGAACACTACCGTCTGATGCTAGAACATTATTATGCACTCCCGTTAATGTTATTTTAAAAAATGTAGGAGGAGGTCAATACTGGCACAATGGGATAGCAAAACCTTGAAGAGCATTTTGCTAAATTGGATGGATATTCCAGATATGATTTCAATTAACACAAATGTGGATGGTTTGCCTATTTTTAAAAGTTCCACAAATGAATTTTGGCCTTTTATTATTGGATTCCCAGGATTCGGCCTTTTATTATTGGAGGTTGTTAAAATTTGTACTTTAGGTATTCATACTTGACTATTAGTAACTGGGCATTTAACGGACATTAATATTTTTTATTGCGGATCTCTAAAATTTTAGTATTTGAAGAAAGAATTAAAGATACACAATTGTCCCGAACTACATCTTAAAGCTGTACATAAGTTCACATTAGAATAACTTAATTGACATTGGCGCTGTAGTGGTACAAATGTGGGACTTCATATAGATAACAGCATTCTAACAGAACACATGTGAACCTAATATACGCTCACCGCATTAAATAGGAGTTATAATAGTTCACATAGCCGTATTTCATTTCCACCATTTTGTTCTACGTAACCTAAAATATTTACCAAATAAATCTACAAGATTAATGCAGATTTATCACAAAATACGCAGATAGAGCGAATGAGTTTTGGTTTCATTTTAAAATTAATTACCGTAGTATAATTATAATGCCAATAAAATATCAAAAACTAAAAATGAAAATTTTCCTCTCAGCCAGTTTTAAATATTTCAAAATGAATAAAGCGTTTTTACAGAGGCGCGTGAAAATTTTAGTTGTCAATATGTATACATTTCACGATAAAGTTGCATTCCCATGGCATTAACGTGATATAGTATATAAAACAGGTACTTTGACCGCGTCTTATATTATAATAATAATCCGCCGGAGTTAGTTTGCCCTGAATCCCTGCACTCCGTACAATTGTCAAACTAATATATTGTGGATATAATTTAGGACACAAGTGAATTTAAGGTAGCTTACTGGAGTACTTTTGTCCGATTTTAACTGTGAAGGCTGTGTATTTAGCCACTTATTACTCTTTATTACACTCATCGACGTTGTATGGTTCACACTGCGTTCCATATAGTGCCGTAAGTCAGCCTTAAGTCCGATGTTACTACTTTAACTGCTATTATAATGCTATTATACTTCTAATGTACAGCCATAGTGAACTTAAGGCTGTCTAATTTGTGCCCAAACTGGTTCAATAAAAGCATTATAGCAAGCTATACAGCTCATATACAGCTGACATACACAGCTTCTAGAGTACATGTGAACGACTAGACATCTTATATAGAACCCCGAATGCTACTTGGGTTATTACTAAAATATTATTAAAACTGCTGAATGAACGATATATCTGGGAATGCCGTGTTAATTTTTGACCGCATACATCACCTGTTTCAGTTTTATAAGGTCAGGAGTAGCTTTTGACATTTCTCGACTTAATCTATTATATCCAAATGAGGATAGCAAGAGAGTGGGATCGAACTAAGCGACAATGTGCTGCGCTTAGGAAGATTTGCCTAGTTTTTTATGGGAAAATTTCTTGTTTGTCGTCCTTAGCTATCAATAGGATAATAAAGTAAATTAATCAAATACTATGCATATAAGAATAATGGTATAACACATTTCCAAGATTTACACATTTGTCATAACTTTACCTTTTAATCTTGGTAATCCGACAATAGAAGAACAATAAGCGCGCGAACGCCGGCGTTCATTTGAAGTTTTATGAATTAATACATAATACTAATTACAAGTCTGATCTGATGATGATTATATTTATATGACAATTTAAACATTAGTCAACCCTAACAAGAACGAATAAGTAAGCCCGTACAAATAATTAAAAATAATAATATGCAAACAAGATACGGGTTGCAGAAATAGCTGTAGTGGGCGTATGTCATTGTGTTTAAAATAGACAATTCATTTTTGTATACCGTGTGGGCCACAGAGTACTAATGTGATTGTAAAATCATGAGACACCGGACATGGCATTATGGCAGTTAAAAGCATTCTGTGGCGTAATCCCTCGCTTCCTGTAATATGGCCGCGTTATTTATATGTAACTGTATACATTGTCACTAAGGGCCTTAGAATTTTATAGAGGCGGCTATGGTTAATCAGAAAGTGTCTTCTGGCTGTAATAAAGATGACGATAACCTGCCGTATTTTGCTCGTTCTTCTCCATAGAAATCAAAACTTAGAAATACTGACCGACAGATCGACATTTCGATCGACGACTTTTAACTTTTATATCTTCAACTATGTAATTATATTTTTTGAGGTCCAGAAGTGGTAATTGGTCTAATACTTATAAAAAATGATTTGACTTCGACTTTAATATAGATTTCTGTAGATATTAGAAACTTGTTCTCTCCGAAAATACTTTTTTCTCGTTAATACAAACTGTGAAACTATATTTACAACAAATTCTTCGCGTGTGATTTGGCATTTAAATAGAGAGAAGTGCGAAATTCGAAGTGTACGTTTTGGTTAAAAATATATTTTAACACGAAACCGAATAAAAACAATCGATGTCTGTCCATTAGGCGAAGACTTCTATTAGCAAATTAATAAAGACGAATGAAGTCAGATTGTTATCGAAATAAAGGTCGCCATTTCTATTGTATTTTCTTTACAGATAAAAGGGACCGGGAACAAAAGAAAACGTTTAGCTTGTTCAGAAATACTCAACCCTTTACCTCAGTCAACGCAAAAAGGTTCAATACGTATTTCTTCACTTCAATCATAGACAAAGGTTGAAGGTAATGAACGTTTTCGGTAAGAGCGATAATAAGACGCTAAGTGTCCTGCTAAGTAGGTCAAAATCATGAAGAAAAAAAAACAAAAATCTTCAAAATTTACACAGAAGTACGTCTAGATCGGTCAACTGTAATAATGAACTTAAGGAACGTCATATTGCGGTAAAAGTTAAAAAGTTAGTGGTAACGACCGCAGGCCCAAAAGTGTCGGAGTACAGATAAGAAATGTTTCCTCTCGAAAATTATTTGTGATATTTAAATAAGTGGAGTTAGGGGTGAACGCGTTTTGGTGTTCGTTATTCGGGCCAGTGTTTATTGATCTCCAGACGCGATTTGAAAGTTCAAGGCTCTGGGTTATTGGAAACGGAACCGTAGGCCTAATCTCATTTCACTAACGTCGTTCGACCCCTGACTTGGAGGTTGAGTTTTCTATGTATGTATGTATAACCGTCAATTTCGAACGAATATTTTCATTTTGTATCTTTGGAAGTCAATGAACAGAAGCCGGAATGAAACAAGGACTGGTAAAGATAAAATAAATATTCTTTTTTTTTATTAAAAACAAAATATTTATTATATTTTATTTTATTTTAAAGATAAAATAAATATTCTCCTAAGATTTGTTCGAAATGACAATCAAACTTACAGTAAAGGGCTTATAAAATCTTTTAAAAGGAATTATATTCGAGGTATAATTTGATAAAAAAGTTAATAATGAACTCAGCGATACAAACAGCATGACCTAGAACCTAGATCACAATATGACATCATAGTACGAGATAAATAATAAAGTGATGAATACTTTCCTTTCATTGAAAACCCTGTAATAACATAATTAAAGAAAAGTCCACTTACTTTTTCAAACAATTAGTGATGAGGAGATGTACATCTTGCCGCTCATCCAAAAGCAGCATGGCGCCGAGGTACCCAACTCGTTTATCCGTGAACCGAGGGCTGGCGATCAGTTTCAGACACTCCAACTGTCCGAAGTGAGCTGGGTAACCCAGCATGTGGATGTACAGGAGTTTCGCTATGTTTCGACATCTGATGACAAGAGTATAACGTTAAAATTGCATTTTTATGGGGTAAGGGACCGGTTGGAGTGTATTCTATACGATGGAAATTAAAAACTAGGCATTTTCAGAAATTTTAATTTTTTGTGAAAAATTTTCTAAATCCCAAAAACCTTGCACACCCTTTGCTACACTCCAACCAAGGGACCAACTAATAGCCTGATTAGGTGGTGGTGAGGAATCAAGGCCGTCCATGTATACTCGCAACTCCACAGGAGCTCCAATGTCAGCCTTTTGGAGGGGGTATAAGACCACCGCGGCACTGAGTCATGACTTAGAAATATTCCAGTAAAAATTATGTGTGATGAAAATGAAAAAGGCACTGTATCCAGGTCACATTGAAGATTGCCAATCTCGTAAATTTAATGGTTTCGAAAGTACCTAATATTTGTAATTGGATTTAAGTACACGATAGGAATATAGTTACTTTTATTGTTTGCTTACAGAGGTAGTTTTGAGAACGGCTAGTACTTTCCTTAAATGCAATAATAATAATGCTGAACCCAACAAAAGTGAGGGAGTAATGTCATCGTAGTGCAATGTGCATGTATTTTTAGCGACTACAATAATTCGATTGCCGCGTTGGTCGAGTAGTTGTGCTCGCAAGTGTAAAATTACGAGAATAGTTGGTGATATGCAGCAGAGTGCGACAATTTTGAATTGTCCTCAACGACAGACAAAAAAGGACTTGATAGACGTATGAAAACGTTTTTATTTTCAATAAAGGCTTGGTTTTCTGGTCCGGAATACAAGTGTCGAGTTACTAGAACATAATACTAGCATAACTTCTATATATAGTATTTGTTTGAAACCGAAACCAGTATACCAAAACTTGTTGAAGAAATGTAAAATACATATTATTTACCAAAGTGTATTTATTAAAATCAGACAAAAAAGGACTTTATCGCTACTACCGACCCAAAACAAATAAGGGAGGATCGAAAATGGGGTTGCCAACCGCAAAACAAAAGCCTTACAAAATAACGTCGATATAATTAATATCACAGAATACGTTACTGCGTAAATTGAACTTTCGAAAGCTTCTATTCGGTTGAAACAGGAAAAGAAAATATATTGGAGTATAGATTCGATATTTTGCTTTTTACCCGTACATAGAATACATTTTCCGTTTTCTCTTATTTGATAAATCTTCGGAATGGCGAAATGTAATTTCGTAGACGTGTCTGATCATGCGAATCGTGATTTTGGCTTTCTTTTTATTGTGAACAAGAACTTTCTTTCTATATAGTAATTTGTAGAGAAATGATTAATGTTTCTTCGTGAAATCAAATCACGTGTATTTTTCTTTTCAAAACGAGTTAGGATGGGATTTCTCACCAAGATAATTGGGTACCGGTTTGGGTTTTGGGTTCCTATGTCTTTTAGGTCTTTATCCCAAATAAAGTTAGCGTAATGTTGTCTACTTCCACTCTCCCCATCACTAGAACAAACTATGTATATTTTTTCCTTGGACATTAACAAAACTTTATGCTACAAAAAATTCAAAACGAAACTTAACAATACGATGTCCTACCTAGCAACCGATTGTAACGACTCATGTTCAATAGACCGAGAAGGAGATCCAAACACAAAAATAGTATGAACACATTATAATGGTAGTATTCATCTTTATTTATACATACACTAAAACTTTGTTCGCTCGAGTGCATTGATCTCTTTAAACGCAACCACCGCGTCAAATTCAATATCCATTTTTTTTCTAATAGGGCATCATCTTATTTCTATGTGCTAAGCAAAATTGAAGACTAAAACCTATACTGATCATTTTGGACAGCTAAAAACTGTTTGCCCAACCCGAAAATCAATTCTGATAGATGACAACATCTACTCGAGACGCGCTAAAGGCCAATCAATCAATTAATCGATTATAGAAGAGAGAGGCCAAACTCGTGAGAAACAACTAATTTATTCATATTAGTTAGATGACACTCGAGAATTCTAAACTAGTACAAAATTTTAGGTTAGACGGATGTCATTTAGATGTACGACTGATAAGAAAATTCGTGTCACCATGTCTTCAAACATTGCAGCGTTGAGATTTAAATCTTGTGATAGTATAAAGCCACCAAAATTTGTAGGCAGGAAATGACGCCAACGTTTATTAAAAAAATATTAATGGCCTATTTATTATTTATCGCTATAATGTACTGCGGCCTCGGCCCGAAGATGGAGAAGGAGAAGACTGATTTTTAGTCAGTAAGAGTCTGAAACTCCCTCTCGCCCCACCCCCTTTTCAAATAAACCTGTTTTTTTAGGACAGTATGTGAAATCCGCATCAAAATCCGTAAAGTAGGTTAGAAGTTAACAACTACACAAACAAACTCGGATTGCTACTCTGTGATTGTTATGGTAAGTGACGGCTCGAACAAAAGTTTTATTATCTCAATACGGCCCTTAGTAGAAGAAAATAGTCAAAGTTTTTATATAGTTTACGTGTACAAGTGGGGAGGTCTATTGAGTCCGGATGGTAAACTTTCGCAATCTAGTTCAATTTTGTAGAAGCTGATCTTTGATATTGGTGGTCATCTTGGATTCATGGCAAAATTTGAATATTTCTGCTGAGTTTTTATTTACGGAATAAAGATTACACAACTTGTATCTCCACTCAGACTTTTTAAATTAAATTATCTCATTATTTATCGATAAAGAGACAGAAAATATTTTCTAATCATCCCTATCATCCCAACTATTCCCTACATCATAGTGCCAAGTTTGATTGAGTATGGATACATCAATGACAACACCGCCTTCCATTAAAAATGTAAACTACAAACTGTTTCACCATAAACATGAGAGTAACCTGACATAAGCAATGCATAATGTATAACATAATCCCCTGTTGACACGAGAGGACTAACAATCTCGTTATATGCGCAATATAACATATAAGTACTTGCCCACAAACGCTCACCTGTTGCAAATTTATTGCCGATCACTTTGTAAACGTATGGAAATCGACTTATTTTAGTTACGCTGCATTATGTTCAGTATTTAATAGCTACGATGACGTAATTTCGTCACATATTTTTCGTATCGATAATAACAGATTCGACAGACTAAAGTCGACCTTTGATTCACTAAGCGCCTGACTAACCACCTTATGTGTCACATAGATCAGACAAATTACGTTCTTTATTCGTATCTGGTACATAGCACCTATTTCGACATTGTGAACTAGGCTACAGAGGATCCTGCCACTATTGATGGTTTAAATCAAAGTTCTAGACTTATTAATAACACATTAGTTGCTCGTAGTGAACACAGCACAATTATTCAAGCCATTAAAGTACTTTTGATCATTTCGGAACCATAAAACAGCCCTCACATTCACAAGTTAATGAGATTTGTTTTTGATTACGCAGAAAATTAAAACAAAATCACAGTACAAAAGGCAAAATATAGAAAAGATAACAAAGGAAGGCCGCATTTTCATTATAATTATCCTGTGTATGAAGCGCAATATACGGTAAGGACCAATTTTATGGAAATAAAATATTCATTGTTGTTTACTGGTCTACGAAGTTAACGCGTATAAAATATGGGCTATTCAAGATATCATTCTAATCTTAATTTATGGCAATCGCCGGAAGACTAGGGCGTTAACTTCCGCGGAAATAGGGTACGGTCAAATTGGATCAGTTTTTGTAGCAATTGTATTTGAGAATTATTTTCGCTCATAGGCTTTAGGTATGCTTCTATGTGAGAAGAGGTCTTTTTCAGCAGTGAGGCCTCAAAGGCTGGTGACGTGATGTGATATTAAATGTTACGTTACTAAGTGATGTCAGAGATAAGCGAACGCCTGGTGTACACGACCGGGATTTCCATTTCACTGCTCAATTAACTTTATGACACGAACTTAATGAACGCAAGTCTGTTTACGTCCGAACCTCTAGACACAAACATGAGTGATCACCGATACTGACTGATTTTTCTGTAGTTGAGACTGAATATATTTTTATTTACTAAACCTACTTATTTTTTTAAGTTATACGTGTTCCCAAAGGATTTAAGATATTTCGTTGTATAATGTTTAACCTTTTTCATTATATTCCTCTGAGGATAGCCAGACGCTGTAATAAAGAGGGAGGAGGTCTAATTTCCAGGAAAATGTTTGTTATTTAGGGTCAAACCATAAAGGAAAATTTCGTTCGTATCTATACGGAGGAGTGACTACCACAAACGTAAAAGAGTATGTCAACAAAAAGTTTTATCCTTTTAAGTTAAAAATTCATTGGATGGGATTTATATACACAAGAAAAATATCTTAGGAACATTAAGATTGGTTGGTTTAGTATAGTGTTTTTATGGTTAGCGAACGAGTAGACACATAATCTGGTGGGAAGCAATCAGTGCCACCAAATCGGAAGAAGAAGAAGGGACATAATATATAACGCCGGTCTTTTAAGAAGTTTTACGTTCTTTGCTTATAGATTAGGTCGTATCAGTTCGGAAATACAGCCTTCGGCCTAATAAAATATTAGACGAGATACTAGTCTAGACAATAACAAAATCTATAAAATATTTACATCATAAGTACTTCTATTGACGTCCAGTAAATAGTTTATGCTTTGTACTAAAGTAGCTTGTAACTTTGTACCTTGCGGCTTTTTGTTGTGGTTTACATTCGACCTTCAGGCGACCGTATCTATGCCTGGTAGATAGTACCTACTTGATAAACAACTATAGAATTATGAATATTGTCAGTGACTCCCGTAAGAAATAAATGCACTGCCCAAAAACTATATACTTAATATAAAAATCAATAAAATGCAATTTGCGCAATTTCGAGAATGGCCGAACCGATTTCTATGGCTCTTTTCATGGTCCAGGACAAGGCAATAAAAAAAAATTTGTTAAGTGTAGCGACCCCTTTGTGGTTCGTCTTCAGCGAAGGACCCGTGTTCGTGTGCAGCCCTTTTCCATCCCTTCGTACAAGTGGTTTAAAAGTTTTCACTGTCATGACTGTCTAGCAGGATAAACCCACTTTTTAGCAAAGTGTCGTTAATGAACCAAGGTTTTTTTATGAGATTTGACAAAGAAATTCCATTGCGCAGGGGTTTGTAATCCGTGATTCGTGCAGTAGATTTGGTAAACCACCATATGAATTTAATGAGCAAGAACCTTAGCTGTTTGTTACAACTTGGGTATAATATCTAATGTTATACATACTTTTTGCCATAGCAGCCAGTTTATACGTTCAGGGGCAGAAAGTAGGGCGGTAAGGGAGGGTGGTTACTTTGTCTTGAGACGTACAAAAAGTGCTGACGTTCAGTTTAATTAGAATTATTTTTGGAACATTAAAATTTTCATAACAAATTCTGCTACAAAGGCAATTTTAGAAAATCAATAAAGGTCCTTAGCAGAATCGTCTTTATTATAGAATTGACACGGTGGTTCTTTTAAAAGGATAGCCCTTAGTAGACCTTTTCAATGATTATTAATCTTTTGCTTGATTTTCAGAAAAGTATTTGACCTAATTAAATTCTAAATTACCCTGGTTTTGATTTACAAGTACCAAGACTAGGTGCACCAACTTGCCTGCATTGCAATCTGCATGTACGAGGGGTGGCTGATATATAATCTACTTTGTTCAATAAAGTTACAAAAATGATACTGGCCACTATGAAGCTTGAATACTTATGTATTCCTTATTTGAAAATAATAGCATTCATTTGTTTTAATTGTTTTCATTAGGAATAGTCCACTAACATAGTAAACATGTCGGATGAAAATAATAAAATGCTTAAAATTGAGCAGCGTGCCGTGATTAAATTCCTAACTAAAGAAGGAAATACTCCTTCGCAAATAAAACAACGGATGTCCAATGTGTTTGGCAATTCATGTCCTTCCGATTTTGTTGTAAAGTTTTGGTCTAAACAATTTAAACATGGCCGTGTGAGTCTAGAAGACGATCCCCATAGCGGACGGCCGGTTTCTGCAGTCACAGAAGACACGGCTCGAGTGAAAAAAATAATACTCGCAGATCGGAGAGTCAAGCAGTGGGAAATCGCTCTAGGGATGTCAGGATTAGTAAGGAACGTGTTCACGTTATTATTCACGAACATTTAGGGATGACAAAGGTGAGCGCCCGATGGGTACCGAGAATGCTGACGCCCTTTGATAAACAACGACGCGACGAATGTTGTGAGGCATTTTTGGACCTAGTAAAAGACAGAGAAGAAGATATTATCTCTAGAATAGTTACCTGCGACGAAACCTGGATTCGCCAATGGGACCCCGAAAGCAAACAGGAGTCTTTACAGTGGAAATTTAAAGGGGAGAAGCCACCGCGCAAGTTTAAGGTTCGGCTATCAGCGGGCAAGCTTATGGCAACAATTTTTTGGGATGTCGAGGGAATTCTATTGATAGATTACCTACCAAAAATTACTACGATGAACGCAGCTTACTACGCCAACTTACTTGACCAACTGCGAGAAGCCATAAAAGAAAAACGAAGAGGCAAACTCGGCAAAGGAGTTTTAATTTTGCAAGACAATGCTCCGGTCCACACAGCTTTACATGCAAGGTCAGTCTTAAGCAAGAATGGCTTCACGGAACTAAACCATCCACCCTATAGTTCAGATTTGGCCCCCTGTGACTATTTCCTATTTAGAAATTTAAAGAAAAGCCTAAGAGGGAGGCGATTTTCGACCGATGAAGAAATGAAGGCCGCTGTGGATGACCATTTTGACGACCAATCCAAGAAATATTTTTTTGACGGTTTAATGTCGCTTATTGACAAATGTAATAAGTGCATTACGGCAGCAGGGGACTATATTGAAAAATAAAATAAAATGAGCTTCCTATGTCTTTTCTTTCTATGTTAGGTAGATAACTTTCCAGCCACCCCTGGTATATCGCGAATTACGATTACGATCTTGGACTTTTTATTTCACTTTCGTAATATTTTATGCAAGAGAATATTGAACGAGCCAATATGAGAGGTGAATGAACTCTCTCGACTTAAGTAAAAAGCCTGTATTTGTTTACGAAGTTGGTTTTGGAAACCGGACTGGTTGATTTACACCTGAGAAAAATATAGGGTGGGAGCCATAAACCAGGTTGGTATTTTTTTCTGTTAAGGTAATTTTAGCTTACGGAATTAGTGTTGAATGCCTAATATTATATTATGCCTTTGGCTTTGAGTTATAATCTTTGTCTGTTCCCTAAAGAATGGATTCAGGTTCAGAGTTTTTACTTGTCATGTTATGATAAGCCTTTGCAGTCGCCTACACAACTATTAACATTTTGTATTCTCCTATCAATTTTTTACGTTTCAAATGTGCCTGTAAATCTACAAATATCCTGTAAGATGTTTGTTACAAATTAATATTCACGAGAAAAGTATTGAATTGATTATTATCTAAAATAGGGTAGGGAAATAACACACAAGCTATTTTCAACTCACCTCCACACACTGTCCTCTTCTCTGAAGGTAGACCGTATGTAAGCGCATTCCTTGTTGACGACACTCCTTTCTTCGGCCGCGGTCCTGGCCGCCCTAATCTGCCTGATAAGGTCGCGAAGGCGCGTCGGTGTCGGCATCCGTACTGAAACCGGCGCAACTGTTACGGACGACACACACATAGAAAGCATAGATCAGTGCGTTGTTAGAAGTGCTTTACTTATGTACTAGGTGAAAGAGGTGATGGCTAAGTCATTGTTGAAATTTTTGAGGAGAGATGAGGATATTTGCTTAAATTTTATCCTTATTTTTTAAAGAATAAGATTGAAAATGTATGATTAGGAAGCTACAGAGAATAGGTACCTAATAGGCTATGCTTCAATTCGTTCTTATTCCTGTAAGAACAGGATTGAGATCATGCGGTAGAATTTGCATATCTATATGGTCTTTATATTTTTTTTCTTAAAATCCTTTTTGGAAGTGAAGGAACTCAGATATACTACCTATTGGATACCTAAACTATCAATATTTCATGAGGTGTCGAATTCAGTATCAAGGATACGTCGAAATCAATTCACTTAGGGGCAAATTCAAGAGATTTTTCGCTCTTATCGAAAATTGAAGTCTTGAAGACCTTTCCCCACTCGGAAAGTGATGTTATGATCAATTAACGGGTCGGGCTACGACTCGCCAACTAAGCGAGATGAAAATTACATTCCCGACCCAAGGTAACAGGTTTAACCTTAATAAAACAGACATTTCAAGATACGTCTCAGTTTATGAGCGCTTCATTTGATAAGATATTAATTTTAGCGGATGAATTTTTCATCGTGTTGTCAGTACTTCAGTGAATATTATAAATAGATATAAGTGAAACAAAATGGAAGTCGTTTTTCATCTTATTCGCTTTGTTCGGACTATCGATGGGCTGATAGAAAACTGAAAGAAAGTTCCTTTTTAGTAATTAAGGGAAGGCCATTCAGCAGTAAACGTTTTGCAGCTGATATGATAATAGTGGTCAATTTACAGTAATAGCGGCCAGTGTTGTCTATAAGGCAATATAGGTAAAAGCCTAGGACAACAGTATCAGAAAACAAATTTAGGGATGTTTTTTTGCCTCTGCATAGCACCTAGTATGGATTGAGTTTATTCCATATTCATACCTAGTGATTAAGGATAACAATAGATTTCTTTATCAATATTAATTTCAAGAAATGCAACCTTTTTGATCTATAAACATCTGCAGTATGTCAACGCGAAGGTAAGTTACCTTCTTTAGGGTAGGTAAAATATATAAATAACGCCTGAATGATTTCAACAATGACTTAATGTTATGATTAGTAAATAAGAATAAATATATAGCTAAAAGCAGAACTTAAATAATACTAATCTAGGCAATAATCAACTTAATTACTGCATTAATTAATACTAAAATATTGACTAAGTATTAAATAATCAATCAAGTCACAAGAAGCTCAAATTAAAAGTTCATTCAGCTAGTTCAAAATATGCAGGGGTTAATTGAGTTATAAATTACCATTTCTAGTATTTTTTAGGTAGAAAAGTGAGTCTAGACAATGCTAATCAAGTAATCAAAGACCTCATTTTTGATGTAACCAACAACAAAATTTTATATTAATAGATTGTGAATATTATAGGTTTTTAATAAGGCACTAAAGTATGTAAAAAGCTATTGCAGATATGAAATTGTCTAGACCCACAATAATGATAAACAAAAAACTACCAAACTACAACCAATTTACAACTTGTACATGCATTGGTTTACCACAAACTAACTAGATACTAAATACCTTTGCCAGCTAAGCTTTTAAACATCAATTAAGTACTAAGTATTACAGAGGAATGCAATCAAAATTTTAGTTACATTCTTAAGTTACCTGCACATAACTTAATAATTAAGTGAAAATCTGCATTCAAATAGCAACATAGAAGTGAAACACTATTAGAACTATATTAAGTCATTACCTGACTAAGTTAAAAACATCAATATCTATGATATAAACTATGCTTACCTCTTTCTATAGCCTCATTTACCACTTGTTTGATAGTGGCAATGTTAAATGCCGGGTTGAACCTGAAACAAAATCACAAGAAAATAATACAGGCATGAATTATTTATAATATGTGCATGCATCGGCACAAATAGGCCTACTCAACCAGAGCGATACAATGGCTTCTCAGAAAAGCAGTTGTCAAGTCCATTGGTATTAGAGCTACTCCAGCTGGTATTACAGGTGTGGCAATGATTGCTTACTATCAGGGATCCATTTGCTTTATTAAATCATATTATTACACACAATTATATTTACACCGTTAATTACATTTTAAAACCATTGATTAATGATAGCAAAATTTCAAGACTACACTAATGGGGCAAATTATTGCAGAATTATCAGTCTAATAGCAATTATTATTGGCAAAGTTCAAAGGTGCGGTTGTGTGTATAAGATTGACAATTGATAGCTTCAGGTTTACTAGAGATCAATTAGAAGCAATTGCTGCACTGATTGACTTCATAAAGCATAACTGATGTAGTGTGTGACATTTGCATATTGTGCATATTTCCGAATATATAATATAAATATACTCTATACATAGAGTTACTTTAATATAAAATGTTCTGCTTGTTATACCTTCTATTGTTTTATAAATAGTTATTAGTTACTTGATAAATAATAAAAAGTTTCCAATACTTAATTCAGATTAAATTACACTACTATCTTTTAAAATAAATGGCAGATATATGTCAAAGAAAACTAAGTAGGTGGAGTTTTTACACAAACACTTTTTGTTGACACTACAAAAATGTTTTATGTTAATATTTACTTTAAAGACACTGTTTCAAACTATATTTAATTCTTTATAAGATTAAAAATAAAGATATCCATAGAATAGATAATTTACCTATTCATTATCTTCAAATTAAACTAGACAGATCTAGGTTAGAAGTACTATTCAGAGGCTGAAGAGGATATAATGACCTCATGGTGTGCCCTTTACCTGACATGCTACCAAGGCTTTGTTAACTCAAACAATACCTTTATATAACAGCATTGTGTACTATTATAAAATACATTAGTATGACCTATTATGAATAGTGCTGTTTTAAATGTGACATAATTAATATAGAAGTTCTAATTGGAGTCTACTTGTATTTGTGTCTATAAAATTAATTAAATTGATGTGTTTTTCAAATTGTATGCAATTCATATAGGACTTATAACCAATGAAAAGTGGGTGTTACATTTACTTGCTGCCAATGAATGTTGTATCCAAGCAAATCTCCATTATAAGACTGAATATTAAGTATGATTCCTCCCAACTGACCAAACTGGGTTTCTTTGGAGGAGGTCTGTGTTCAGCATTTGATGTAGTAGTTATTATAGGGGTAGGAGTGATGTGGTAGTTGTACGGTATCTATTAGGATTCTATTTTTCAATAAGTATATATATCAGTGTATTCTCAAAACTCAAACTTTTTGTTTCTCTCTCGAAACACTAAACCTTATAAGCAGTCTTGGGACTGATATTGTGAAGATGATGAGTAATTAATTATATGTTAAAAAGAGGATGTTATCAACTGTGAGTGTAGTTCTTGTTTGTTGATGTTTTAATGCAAAAGAAAGAAACCAATTGTATGAATATCATGGCTGTCATCTTTGAATATTTCTGATTTAGTCAAATAAGAATGCTGTGTACTTTATTTTAATTATAAGCCTAAGCAAGTAAGTGAAATTGCTGAATAGTTATAGCTTTGAGACTGTCTGCTGCTATACAAACTTAAATAAATTCATAGGTCAAATAAAAATAACAACATTTTTTATTTTGTGCTTATTATCTAATCTTCTTTGATGTTTTTAGAATTTTATGTCTATTTAAAGGTAAAAAATGGTCAAACAGAACATATCATAACAAATATATCTAGCTGCAGGTGATTGAAACATACTAGGTATACCATCTTACAAGAATATTTTATAGTTTTTTACTCTTGCACAATATAAACAATGAGATCATATCCATCACACTAAACAGAACTGAAATATTACTAATAAATATTGTACAACAGTCTATCAACTATGCTTATATATTGCTTAAGATATTCTAGTGTCTAACGTATTTGCAGAACAGTCTAAACGAAACGTACAATAGGAAGTTACACCAGTCAAATAATGGTCTCTAACCTATTTGTTAAGGAAAGTAATAAACAACAAAAATTACCCGGATTCAGAGCCGTTCATCTTGTCCGTTCTATTAATTCTTTACAGGTAACAACAGAATTAAGTTTCTTGCGGTTCACGAACTCAGGTAGTTATCACGGGGCCAGAGCCAGGTGTTAAGAACGGGAGGTCAAAACCAGTCAAACGAAAAACCACTCTGATACAAAAACTATCACTGGAATACTCTTAAAATCATAACGTAAGGAACTAAAAAAGAATTACACGTATTTAGTTAAGTCTGTGAACATTTTATTTCGTCACAAACCATAGAAATGCAGGTGAAATCGCATGCCACCTTTGACTAACTTCTGTCATATTTTCACTTCTAATTTAAACTCAAATGCAACATTTGTTCATTTTTATGTTCACTTATTATCACAGAAAAAATGTTTTGTCGAAACTTATCGCTTTATTATATTAATTACAAAGAAATAATACAATTGCCAGCTGACATTTCCGTGGTGCGTTGCAAGAAATTCAACATGGCCGCCATGACTCGCACATGACGTTTGCTCAATTTTCAATCAAATAACTTTCCTTTATATAATTCAATAATTTAACGTTATATTTTTATTGTTATTAATAGGGAAAATATTATGTTTAATTTATGTAGCAATAATTACTCAACATAAGTTATTTATAACCGTTCTTGTGGAAGAAGCTGGCAACCTGCGGATTCTGAACGAACGTTTGCTACGTGGAAAACCTTTTTGGAAAACGGAAAACTATTTCCGTTCTGTTACCAACACTGTTCATGATTGACATGTTTACACTCAAACATATTCAACAGACTTCAAGAGGCCTTATCATTGATAATTGTTTTTTTTAGCACTATCACAGATATCAGCTATAAAAAATCCGCAGTTTGTACCTACCTTCGGTTTTGTTCTGGCGGCAATACACTCCAATCAACTTCATACATAGGATATGCCATAATTAAAATTTAAAAACAACACTATGAAAATGTGCTAAAATTGTTTTAATAAAAACATTTCACAAACTATGCCACAATATTCCACGACGGTGTAAACTGTACTGTTATCAGAAGTGTTTTATCAGGTGCAGGTACTCCTCACATATCCAGTCACAACGTATCTCTTATCAAAGGTACAATTTATCACTGAAAAAGGATAGCAATACAGCACCAGTTCTAGTAATGTTTTATTCTTAAATGTCAATACTGTATGTACAAAACAATGGGCCGTACGAGTCACATCATTATCTTAATAGGAAAACTAATTATTATTCATTGTATCGGTAGTGTCGTTCGGTCGGGCGTAAGACATATTATACATGCACCGGGTGTAGGTGTCGCCTTTATAAGTTATCGTCGTGGTTGCGCGGCGGCCGATCGACGTTGTTTCGCTTTATGCAGTCCACGAGCCATCTAATGCCTTCATCGACCCCATCTCTGCAAATACAATAATACAATAATAAATTAAAATTAAATCACTGCCAAATACCTATAGGTACATTTAAATAAGTACAGCATTTTCCGACTCACTGTAAACTCAGTCTAACGTGCGTCGATTTTTATTGCAAAGTTAACAATTTATGTGAAAACGGTCATTATTATTTTATTATACTTTAAAAAACTACAATAGCCGTGTACCCAGTATTATGCATGTATGAATTATCTATGTAAAATATATGGAATAGTTTAAAATGATAAGAACTATTTCAGTCTAGGTAAAACATAGTTTCATTAGCTAACTATAATTACTTCAAATAATGTCTGTATAGTTTTGTTAGATAAGGGTTCACAGCGTTACTACAACTGACAAAAAATATATTAATTTTATCCTGTTAAAATTAAGTCCTTCGATTTTAGGTGATAGGAATGTTTGTCGAGAAGTTGATTAGCCTATATTTCAACAGACTTAATATTTAACAACGCAATTTCTATAGCAATTATTTAATGAGATGTCGTAAATCTAAAAATCAGACTGTGCATAACCTTTAAAAGGCTCTGAGAACTAATCACACTTCTCATTAAGAGTCATAAGAAAAACTATTTAAAGCAATTATTTCAATTGAAAATAATTAGTAGACAAGATTTTTCTTCCAAATACATAAAGACTGAAGTGTAGTTTTTTTTTGTACTAAAGAAATCGTGTTTTGGTTATTTACATAGTTTAAAGATTTATATTGATTACTATGATTGTTTTTGTGTACAAATATATACCTAGCTTTTAATTGGGTAAACTAATATCCGATCTCAATTCACATTACAGTATGAATGAAGAAGGCGGATTGGCGAATTCAAACTTATATTTAGAAGTTATAGGTCCAGGTTTCCTCACGGTGATTTCTTTCAACGTACGTCAGTGGCAGTGGTGTCTAAATAATCATAGAAAACACATAGGTATAACTCGGAAAAGTTGCATTGGTACTTGCCAGGTTTCGAACCCGTACCCTCTGAACCCACTACGGGTTTAAAGTAAAGCCTGAGAAACGGGCGCCTTAACTTCTGGGCCATCACAACAACTTTGATTTTGACCATTACTTAGTCATTAGTTAAAATCTGCTCACTAATTTAAGATAGAGTATGGTGTATATAGAGTAACATATACATCTATTTTTTTTTGCATTAGGTACTAGAATTGGGTAGTTTCCTAGGTAAAAAATAAATTAATTCTACGTTTCAATACAATTAAATATTGAAAAATAAGTATACTTTTATTAATCGATCGATCGATACACTAAGTTTTCGATATTTTTTAGCTACTTATTACGAAATAAGTAAGCTATTTGATGCAAAAATGTTATGACGTCATGGCTCAGTTTTTCATACAAATTTCGTAGAAAAGTATCGTTTTTGACATTTGGATAAAAGTATTGAATTTGACTAGTTGGAAACTACCGTATTATTAAAAGTAGCATAAAGTCTAGAGTGTTATTAGGTGTATGGCAATATAGGGAAAAGGCTCGCCCTTTCATACATGGGACTCATACCATAACTGCTTGCTAGGAATACATCATCATCATCATCACCAGCTTGTTTCCATCTGAGCTCTTCTAATCATACTGCCACCCACCCTATGGATATCGTCAGTCTACCTAGCTGCTACTACTACACTATGATTGCCTAGACGTGATCTCCACTCCAGAACGCGTCAAGTTAATTGAGTGTTACATAATCTCCTCTCTCCTTTAGGGGAATACGTGAATTTTTAAATGCGGGAGAGCTATGCTTCGGCTCGACCAGAGCGATACCACATCCTCACGGAATATCGGCTTAAAACAACAGTTGCGTTGCGTTCCGCCGTGTGATTAAATTCCATCCAGAGATTTAAGAATAGCAGATTTAGGGATTGACCCTAAATCTCCTATATAATAGCCATAGCCAGGCCAAAATATAAAGGCCAGTGATTGCATTTCTAATTTCTTTGTTATTAAGAGTCCATAGGTCCGTCAGAATCAATCATCATCAGGTGATCTGTCTGAACATTTGCTGAAATATGTCAAAAAAATGCAAGTCATTGTTACCCATTAAGAGCAGAAATGGCCATCAGCATAATATCTCTTGCACCAATAAGGTGTGCGTTCTGGTTGAATATTGGTTTCACAGTGTGAACCCCCATGCAGTCTGGAATGTCTTGTTTATTCGCTAACACTAGCAGCGGAACACCTGACAAGTGTTCTGAAGCTATCATTCTATCTGTAACATACAATTTAAATATATTCATTAGAAAATTAATAGCAATAAAGTATTTTGAGCACTTCTGCAGGGTTGTTTTTTTCTTGAACAGATGGCATGGCTATCTAAAATGGAGTCCTTTAGGTTGATCAATGAGAGCTACTATGTACCAGTTGAACCTGTTTATGTCTGAGTCTATTTGTCTAATGACTACAGCAGACAAATGTAATATTGAATAGTGGCATAGTCAATTTTTTTTGCTGCAATGCAAATGCTTACCAAAATCACATAGTCAAAAAGATCTAATGTGCCAATCTGAGACAGACAATAATTATGATCTTAGTGTTAGTAATTGGTGTCTGAATTGGATGTTTATGACAAAAAGCCAATATCTGGATAGATTATTATAACTACAGGAAATGTTGTTATCATTATTACATCAAAACATGCTTTATGTTTTACATTTTTGATAACACATTAACTTTTGTAAATATGTCTTAATGTAATATGAGTTTTATTCTGTTTATTGCATTATTCTTGAATAAAATAAACCAATACTGACCAAAAGTTTCTTTTGATTCAGATATTCTGTCTCTGTCGGACGAGTCTACTATGTATATAACAGCATGGCACTCTGCATAGTACTGAAAACAAAATATAAGTATTTTTAAAAATGGAATATAATAAGCAATGATCAAATTACAAACTATGCAACATGTATTCAAATAATAGCACCAATTTGGATATATTTTAGTTTATTATTTTTGCAAATTCATTCTAATTTTTTTTCATCTTACAGTTGAAGCATCAAATTGCTCGTGAATCTGCAAACATAAATGGCACTACTTTATATTGTTATATTTTTTACCATACAGCAAAGAGACTTTGTGTTATTATATTGACCTTGAAAAAAATAAAAAATAAATTGACACTGTATGACTAGAATTAGTTGTGTAACTTAAGCAAATGAAAGGTGTTTCATAGAAATCTCTTCATTTAATAGCAGTTACTTTCATAGAGAGTCAATAATCAAGTATATAATAAGCATATGCTACAAGACTCTTTAATCATCAAATAAAACATGGTTCGCAAGATTTTATTGTCCAGCAACAAAAGACCTAAGTCAAGTTATAAATATTTACTTTGTCCCAAAGACTCTGCAACTCCTGCTGCCCGCCAAGGTCCCAAAAATTAAGTCTTACGCCATCTACATCAATTTTGCCTATGTTTAATCCAACAGTTGTTGTTATCCTGTTCGGGTTCATTGCCTTATATTTCTTCGTAAATTTTGTTTTTGTAGCCTCCAGATACGTCTGCAATTAACAGATATAAATTATTTACTAGTAATAAGTATCAAAAAATAATTATTTGTAAAAATCTCTCAATGTTTATAGTACGGATTTAAGTACCGTTTTGCCAGCATTGTCAAGGCCTAATATTAACACACAGTATTCGTCTTTTTGCACCAAATACTTGTAAAACCCATGTAGTAATGTATACATTTTAATACATTGTACGATGTATTTTATTCGTTAAAAATATTTACATCAAAACTCAAAATAAATAGCACTACTCAGGAAAAGGAATGTCACTTGGGAATAGGTGACAGCTGTCAAAATTGATCTTGACATATCATTTGTTTCGTTCTAAATTACGCAAAAGGTAGAAGATGGAGAGTAATATCGCTTAAAATCTGAAAAAAACACAATATGTCTTTGGAACGCTACCAACTGTTGTCGTTTCACATTTACGTCAAAAAAGCAGCTGAATAGATGAAAAAAAATTCGTTCTGAAATAAATACTTGTTGCAAATTTATTTAAAAAAATAAATTTTGTAAAACTGATAATGGCAACAATACTGTAACTGTTACTTAGACATACATGTATAACGTCAAGTTTTTACCCTTTTTAAACTGCAGAGTCATGTTGTTCGCTTTACAACTTTTTTGTGTAATTACCATACAAACCGATGCCGCTGTTGTAATTTGCTAAAACGCCAGAAAAAAATATTACGCGTCCTAGGTACCTTAAAGTACTACATTGCTACCCAGTATATTACTTTACTCTTTGCCTTGAAACATCAGCCTAAAGTATTCGCTACTCTTTGGTCAATGTTTTGTCATATCATGACATAATGTCGCCATCATTTGAAAACTCGTAATTGAAGAACGGAAGATCGTAGGATATATTTGGAATAAAGATAAAATGGGTCCTAAAAGTGAAACCATTCGGACAAAAAGTAAAAGTAGAACTGGAATGAGTATGTCAACAGGACTATTCGCATCCAGTGATAGTCTACATGCACCACGGTGTGTTACTTTATCTATGGTTTTACAAGGTGCTACGCCTTCAACAGAAGAATACCGATTTTTGGCCTTATTTAATGGATCGACACTGGTTGAAACAAAATGGCAGGACAAGGAGACTATCATGTTCATTACTATGCCGATAAACCTTAACGATCCGCATGCTCAACTCTTAGTAGCAAATTCACCCTTATGTCTTTTAATGCGTCACGTTGGAGGAAAGCCGTCCAGAGAACCAGATCCTTTAGTTCATCCAGATAACCGTTATGGCGCTAGTGTAGATTTATTTCCACTCCTTATAGGGGAACAGAACATTTTTCTGACTTCTAATTTAGTCTCAATGTCAACAGGCGAAAAAAGCAATTATTCAGTTGTTGTTCGCGCCTTTTCACCGGGAGAAGTGGACGAAACTTTGGTGCCTTTAACTATGACTATGATTTCAGCTCATTGCTTGCCAATATCGAAGGAGGGTACTGTTTATATAGGTGCTATAGGGTTAAATGGAATACATAAACCAAAGGCGATATCTTTTAATATGTCATTAAGTTCTGACCAAGCACAGAAGATTATGTTCGCTAATGCTAGCACTGGCGGTTATGCTGCCGAAACAGCAATGAACGTATACATTGACGATAAATTTATACCAAACGATTTAAATGTTCGGGAAACAAATAATTGTCGACATGTTTATTGGAACGCTATGAAGAGAGTGTTAGTGAACCCACAACAATTATATGAGCGACTATCTACACCGTTCACGATTGAATTAGCAGCAGTCCCGAGATTTGGCAGAACAGAAGTCCGAGGACGATATTTGGCATTGGTAGACGCCAAAGCGCTGCTGGAACCAGGTCAAACAGGAGTTACAATTTGTTCCAAACTTATATTGTTTACGGACGCTAATAAATTCGAAAGCACCTGTAATCTTCTTGACCTCCCACCTACAAGCGCTAAAGCTAGTGTTCGTGAAGGTGAACATCACGTATTTGACGAATATGGACATACTAGTTATATAACGATACGATTTGATTTACCTGAGTCTTTGGTTCCAAAGACTAAATTAGAAAATTTATATGGCCTAATGGGATTGCCTCTACCTAAAATTGCCAGCACCCCGAAAGATCACTCTGATTCTAACGTTGTTCGTGTCGATACTACTGTTGATGCTAGGACCATAAGCAAAGAAGCAGGTGCGCTAGCTGTCCACAAAGAGCTAAGTGCTTTAGCTTGTAAAGGTGTGATTCAAATGAACCAAGGTATAAAGAGAACTGCTGCAAATCGATTGCTAATGCGTGTAAGAGCAATGCTTAAAAACTTCCCTCCCGGTAATTGTTCTGATCTTGATTGGCAGGATACAGTAACTGCCCAACATGCAGCATGTAGACGTGCTGTCACAGCGTCTTTCGCTCCTCAACCACCACCACCCCGTCTTCCGAACAATGTTGCTGCAGCAAGATGTCGAATTGCTGGAGATAATAGAATTGCCCAAATACATAATGAAACAAATTATAAAGTTGCAGGAAGACATCCACGAACTTTAATAACTAAAGCATTGCGCTGTTTAGAAAGAGAGACGGATGAAGATGCTAAGAATTATTTGCTTGAAGGTTTAAGCACCCAAACTAGAAATAGGTACTTACTGTGGATGTACGGCGGTCTAGAGTTCAATAGAGAAAACGAGGGCTCAGTAGCAGCTGGTGCTGCTCTTCGTATCGCTGTCGAAGGCGATTATTCAGATGGAACTGCTAATGCTATTGGCTGGGCGGCTCTCCATGCTTTCCACCACGTAAACGGAAATGAATACGCAGCATTTGTATCTGCAAAACATATGAGGAAAGCCTTTTCGCTACCCATGGAATGGGATAAGATTTTAGCTCGATGGACCGATGCAAGTGGAGAGGAAGAGATATATTGGATGCCAACTGTCATAGCAACTGATAATCCTTTTTTAATGGCAGCTGCATTTTTTCTCTGTCTCCGTTGCTACCGATTTACGGAAGCATTATTAAAATGTGTGGAGTTAGATTGTGCAAGTCGTGGAAGTTATTCATTGAAGTGTCAGATTTCTCCTCACGTGTATTATTTGCGGGCTGCCATTATGGTTTTGCAACGAAAATTTAGAACTGCAATGGATATAACAATGGAAGGTATAAATAAATTTGGGCCAACACCTATTATGTCTCAAATGCGTGCTACTTGTATAGCTCGTATTCGGAATTGGGACCGTGATTGTGAGAAAGCAATTCAAGAGGCAGAAAACGCGGGGTCCGAGTTGTGTTCCTCGGTTTTGTATGTAGCCTCTTTAAAGAGCTTCAAATTAAATCCTATGGAAGCTCTGCAAAGGGCTGCTCGAGCTCATAAGACATCACCATCTGGTCATACTGCTCTTTTAATTGGTCGGATTTATGCCCTTATGGGTAAAGCTTGGCTCGCTGAACGTTGGTTGGCTGCTGCTGTTAACACCGAACCATTATTGGCGGACGGTTGGGCAATGTTGGCTCTATTGGCTATGTATGATAAAAATTTAAACAAAGCAAGAGTTATGTTACGTACGGCAAAGCAAGTGGGCCCTGTGAGTCCAGACATTGATGAGGAATTAACAAGAGTAATGGAAATGGTGGGATTAGAAAAAATGTCTGACCACCTAGTGAAAAATCTTTGTTTATGTGATTATATCTAAATCTTGTAATTTGCGTTTGTTTATTTTGACCTTGGAATGGAGGCTAAGCCACCGTTTATACCCATCGAGGATTCATGATATTCATTCGGAGGTACTTTGAGCGGTAGTCTAGACATCTGTTATGACATGGAAGAATTATTTTTTGTTAATTTTAACAGTTGAATACCTACTACTAGTGTTTATATTGCGCTATTTAAATAATTAAATTATTTTCAATTTATCAAGTTATTTTAATAAATTTGGTTAAATCGACGACAAGGAGTATCTGTAGCGCAGTAATTAAAATGAATTCGAATATTTACTTTGAAATGGCAATTAGATACACATTTTATAATTTATTAAAGGTAGTTCCCACCTGCGCGTTATTTAGAGAAGCCATACAAATCAAGAAAGTAAAACAAACATGCACCTATTATTATTAGTATTTTAGGGCGCACAGTGTCGGTGGCCAACATCAAGTGTCAACTGGTTATTTATAACCACTACACCTCGTTGCAGAACGTAAACTTGTGCTATTTAGCTATCTCGGTCCCAAAGTAGGTTAGATTACAACAACAGTTTTATACTGTTATCATGATAAGCCGATAGTGGCTCATCGACATCAATATGATGTCATTTTCTAAGAAGCTTTAGATTCTTCGTCATTTGAAAGCGACGCGCCCTTTTCTATTTGAAATAAATAAAACGATAAGTTGCGTCCGAAAGATAAAAATGTCGAATGTTTAATTTCGTTTCGTAGAGTTAGCGGTGTCGTGCTTGCATCACTCGAGGCGTGCGTTGCGACCACTGTAGTCTGTACACAAACATTCCCTGTGCGGAACGAGCGCTCTTTGTTTTGAATCAAGTTTCAAACAAGATTTCTGACATGTGAACACACAAAATCACAATGGGACTCTCGACGAACTGCTGGAAATATCTAGTTCTAATCTTCAATGTGCTATTCGCAGTGAGTATTATTTATTTTTATTGAAAACTTTGTTTATTATCCTGGAATTGTGCTGACCCTACGAATTTCCCCTTTGTTGTCATAACAACTACGTTAAAACATGCAAGTATCCGTCAATAAGTACACTGATATCCAATTCTTATTGTAAAATCCCATAGTTGTTCGTAGAATAGAGCAATAGTAGTGCTGACACACATTTTATTCAATGCTATAATTGCACAGACTTTTTCTTATGGAGTGCATTGCACGATCAATAAAGATAATCCAACAAAATCTAAAAGCACATTTAATATCTTAAAACTGGCGCTAGTGATACGACTTATGCATGAATAAGAAAAGGAAACATGATCGTTTTCGATCTTCATGGGCGACGTTTTTATTTAACCGGTGTATAATAGTTTTCCATAATAGTTCCGTTTATTGTCAACAGATGTCGGCTGTTGTGCTGTTTGGTGTGAGCGGTTTTCTTATTTACAAGTTGTTCATATATCGGCACTTTATTGGAGTCAATGTGGAATATCCAGCTATACTCCTGTTGATGATGGCCATCATCACATGCTCCATAGCTTGGATCGGTTGGAGAACTACAAAGTCGATGCATCAGATACATGTTATCATTGTAAGTATCTACCTACAGTATATTTCGTGACTCAATGAGTCATACTATATTAGTGCCTTTTCAAACACGTACTTATCTAATTGATCCTAGAGTGGAGATCAACTGTATGATTACAGTACAATGGCGGAATGATAGATCAAATCATCAAATGCTAAGATATTGTGGGGCTAGGTTAGCGATGTCTCAGCACGCAGAGCTGCGTGAACTTCAAGATTTAAAATCGAGACTATTGTGTAGAACTGGCATGGAAACAGTTATCTTCGCTCACGAATGATTTAATTAACCGAGTGGATATCAACCTCGACCCCGTCTAATATGAATTACTTAATTACTCACGTTAAACTGCATTAATTAATTGTATTCATCTTGCTCTTGTTTGCTGAGAGGTCATTGGTTTTTAACGACGTTTTAAGCTTAGGTTTAGTTTTCCGTATCCAGTCTGTCATGCCTCATGGTCACTTTTTGTTGGCTTACCGGAAAAGTGACTCAACCACGGACTCAACTAACCGCACATAGCTACGCTGGCATTGGATTGATGATCTCAGTAACACAACCAAATCCACATTACCTCTGAGAAATCAAACCATAATTATAGACTTAAATTTTTAGTTTCGGATTGGCATCTGAGCTGACTGAAGTCTTGATTGATATCTAAGTATATCTACTTGTATTATACAGAGGTAGATTTTGTTAGTTTGTATGTAGGGTACCTTAGAAGCGCTGGTAGAAAATTCTTTCATCGATAGAAAGTTAAAAATGTTTGAGTACTCTATGCTATAAAACATCACGCTACTATCTAAAAAAGTCAAAGAGCGAGCGAATAGAGTAGCTACTAAATCAATAAAATTACGTCCACTGTCTTATTGAAGGCCGCTATCATGTGATCAGCTTCGTATCGTGACGGTGATGATCTTAGTAGAACACAGAACAGGGTTCTAGGATTCTGAAGAATAAAAAGACTCTTTTAGCAGTTGTCAAGGATTAGTATTTTTTATAGCATAAAGATAAAACGCCGAACAGTGATTCGCAATCACCTATAGACGCTAAACTAGAGAGATTTAAACAAATTTCTAAAAAAAGGAACGGGATATCCATATTAAAATTCCATTTTCATGTTTTCAGACGGGGATCCTGATACTGCTGGTGGTGGTGATAGAGTTTTCCTGCTTCGTGTGGGCCATGGTGGTTTGGGATAACGTGGAGATAGACATTAAGTCCACTTTATCTCATTACTTCGAACACACCTTGACGAAGACTGATACTACAGATGTTGATATTATCCGATGGGATAGGATACAAGTTAAGGTGAGCAAGCCCTAGTTAAGGATATTTTGGTTACAGGGCTGGTTCCTTTGAAGGTCTTAAATATACCTTTATAGTGGATATCCTTAAGGAGTATTCTCCTGTTATGTAAAGAGTGCTTTCGCCTCCTGTAACAGCAGTGAGCCTGAGCCTATCGCTAAATTCCTTTAGTTCCCAGTCTAATATACGTATCTTCAAGTGAACTATTAAGCACATTTTTTTTTATTTTGCGTTATTTCCAATTAGTCAAATTCAATACTTTTTCGAAATGTCAAAAATTACAATTTTTAATTTATGTGTGTCATTGTCGTACTTGTCTATTCAAAACTCATAAGATAGCAAATTCGATATCAGTTTTCTCTCCCAAATACACGACTAATGAAAATAATACTCTCAATTTCAGTTCGAGTGCTGTGGCGTCTCAGGACCCAGTGACTACACATCGAAAGGCCAAGTGCCCTTCTCCTGCTGCGGACAGGGTCCACTGGACTCACTCCATAGGCCTTACGCGGCAGACTGCTCAATGCTATACCAAAGAGGCTGCGGGAAACCGCTCCATGACTATGCCAGGCAGCAGGTGCTGATGGTGGCCATGACAGCGTTAGCAGCGTCTATATTACAAGTAAGTTCTTTTTAATACCCGTCGTGAGACATGTTTAATTAAGTATGTAATATATAGCTTACCCACGTAACTATTCGACGGGGTAACCCGAATTATTACAAACCACGCAAGGGGCTCATGACACTGAAGTCACGAGGTGAGGTACTGTCGACAGTTTCGTTTAAGTATTCTTCTGTGTAAGTACTTAGATTACAACAAGTACCTTAAGAAGTTTTTAAAGTAGGTAGTACTCTGTAAATGGTAATAAATGGGACCTAAATAAGCCTTTTCTCTTATTCTAGCCACTTATTGCATTAACAGGACTTCACGGTGTTGGCTCGAATGTTCTGATATATTTGACATCTGCGATAGGAAAGGCTGCCGTCGTTAGGTACTAAAAATAGTTCACAGAGTTACGGGCCCTTATTTAATTTCAAGAACTCTTCGTATTTTAGCAAAGATCTTCAACTAAACCACAATAATTATGTTCTTAAGTACGTAAAAAGAATTGAAAATGAAAGAAATATTTAAAAGAACGCGTTTATGGGTTCTTAAAAGTAGGTACCTACCTACCGTCGTCGTCGCGTCGACACCATATTTTATTTAAATTAAATCATTTTAAAAACAACGACTGGCTCGTTTGAATATAAATGTTTATTTCGATTAGAGAAAGAGAGAATTAAAAAAAAAAAATATTTACGAAGCTTTCATTCGTTACTTGGTTCACTCAATATAATTGGAAGAAGAGTATGTTTAAGAATTGTATGATATCCCTATTGTTGTTGGTTCAGAGTTCACAAGGTATGGGACAAAGTGAACAAGTGACTAAAGTCAAATGAGTTATTGCAAATAAAGGACTATAGGCCGTGACTATAGGCTCATTTGAACGCCAAAAGAAAAATCAAAATTCTTATTAAAAGTGTCAGTCTTTCGTTCTGTCCACTAGTGCTATTTGCTCGTTCCAAAGTGTAGATTCTCATGGTTAGGCATTCTTTTGCAATCAGCTTCACAATAAAATTATAAATACTTTATCTTTCATTAGAGGACTATAAGCTAGCGATCTCCAATTTAAATAAAAGTTTTAAACGTAAAGAATACTGAATAGATTTATTTGTTACTTTTTATTAAGAAAAATAAACAATTTTATGGCATACCTACCTACAGCAAAAGTTATAATCGCCTTACTGCATCCACGATAAAAGACTAAATAAACGTATTGGGAATAAAAAACTTTTTTTCAGAATAGCTAACTATCGGGTATACCGTAGCAGACAGTGGTTGCATCACTTTTTCTGTCAGTGAATAAATTCAAGAATAGCCATAATAAAGCTGTGGACATATTCATGAGGGTAACAGAGTAAAATGTTGCTTTTCGTCCTTGAAACTCCTATTACATCATCTGTCTGGCCACGAAGAGGGGAGAGAGCAAAACAATACTATTATTTTTATATTTACTTACCACCCTAAGGACATAAGGATCGGAACTTCCAAGGCCAAATGGATCATTAATCTTAAGGGTGCGAAGTAAAATTCTAATGTTGTTTCGTCTGGTCTGCTGAACAATGAACGAAGACTCCGAGTTTTTTTAAACATAATTTGTAGATCTCAAGTAGGAATAATTTATTTCAAGGATGCTCATAAATTCCGTGAATTCAGAATTTTATTTAATACTTAAATTGTTGTGCTGGATTCTACCATTCTTCTTCTTTCTTTCTTCCTAGAAATGGGATCTATGAATTAAATTAATGTTTAACCGTAGTGTAGGAATAATATTGTCACAAACAGTCCTCAAATTTCTTAATTAACCTAAAATTAAATAGGTAGGTACCTCAATAAGCCAAAACTGTTCAAATAATTATCTTTTCCTCAACATTCTTACACGTGACTGACTTGTGGCCTTTTTGACATGGTCATAGGCAAAATATTGCTGATCCCAAAGGACAGTTAACCTCGAAACGTCAGAGACAAGCTGAATAACAATGGCGGCCTTGTCATAAACAATTGCGCGCCATAATTAAACGTCATGTCGTCAATAATGTCCCCTGGGTTTTAATTATTATTAATCATTGTTATTTAAAGCATTAAATTTAAAACAGGAATTTCTGTGTGTCTATTCTGCGTATGAAAATATGTTTGTTTTTTAATACAAAGCGTATTGCCCTCTATTGTAAACGCTGAGGTAGAATATAGTCGAATAGACCTACCCTCCGATATCCCCATAACGTAAGTAATGTGAAGTGATGTAAGCAATTTTATTTATGGTATAAGTCGGCAAACGAGCTGACGGATTACCTGATGGTAAGGAATCGGCGCCGCCCCTGGACATCCGCAACACCAAAGGAGTTACGAGTGCGTTGCCGGCCTTTTGGGGATATGGGTTGCGGATATAAGGATCGGGAAGGGTTAGGGGTAACCTCACTCACACGGCCAAACACAACTGTGGTTGTTTCACGCCGGTATTCTGTGAGGCCGTGGTATCAATCCGGTCGAGCCGACCCATTCGTGCCGAAGCTTGGCTCTCCCACACTTACAATACAGATTTACTTACATTATTCAAAGATATTTTAAGTCCTGTGAACTCTCATCACACAAACACGGTTGGTCACCGTTCATTTCATTTGCGACTCGTTTAATTTGAATGTTTCATGTCATAAAATGACTGATTCATTGTTCTAAATCAGGAGTCATTACCCCGGTGTTATGTGCATCACTGGTAATTATCAGCTTCATGCAGACTCGGCTTGTTAGCACTAGATACCTACGTTTTATTTCCTGCAGGGTACAAGTTAGACGTTGGCCACTAAATCTGGTGTAAACAAAACGTAATATCTATTTTTGGTTGCCACTCATTATTTAACGAAGGAGACTGGACATCGGTCGTTGGCAGCCGATTAAAAATAAACAAGAACATTTTATTAAAATATTTTTTTTTATTTCGGTTGGCTGTTTGGGTGCGACCTATGCCTAAAATCTACAGCAAAACATTCAAATATTAGATTTAGAAGTCAAAAGAAGTGTGTCGACATTTTAAAATGTAGATATAATATTATTATGCAGGTGCCTATTTAAGAGGTGAGAGCGGGACTACTTGCCTTTCCATTTAAAAATTGTTTCAACTACATGTAGGTATAGGGATATACTTATTTAAAAAAAAATATAATCATCAAATGATTTAGATGAATTTTGAATCTTCACTGAAACTAAATTGCGAAAACTTAAACGATACTTTAATTACCTATTTATAATTAAAATTGTTACAGAATCCCCGCTTATTAATAATTCTAAACATTGTTTTGTTCAATTCTAATGACATTTAACCTGGTTCTTAGATAACCTAAATGTTTAAACATTTATTAGTAATTGTGTTATGTAGTCATTCATTGCTATGCATTAGTCAGATCAATTAATTACTGGAAATTCTATGATAGGATTTTCCGTAGGTAATTGGTAAGTGAATGAAAAACGCCTAAGATATTTGCTAAGTGAGCAAATAAGTAGGTAGGTACTTACCTACTTTTTCCGAGTTATATATACCTACCTACTTTTTAAGATGGTGTAGACGCCACAGGCAAACAGCACAGGAAAAATCGTGAAATCGTGAAAAACCTAAACCAAATATTTCTATAGGTACATAAGTTTGAAATCGTCAACTCGCATTGAGCAAGCGTGGTGAATCATGCTCAAACCTTCTCGGTGTGAGAAGAGGCCTTTGCTCAGTAGTGGGCACTTATAGGCTGATGGTGATGATGAATAAATCTGTGCACAGTTTGCATTGTAGCTTGTTGCTATTCACACAACAAAATGACATCATGTGATTTTACAATAGTATAATTTTGTCTCTTGCATCAATCGAAACTAATGCTCCGAAATAACAGATGAAATCATATGCCTGTACTCAATTGCGCGTAAGAAAATAATCTAGGCACACGTTGTTATATTTCTTCTTCACTTTTACGTTTTCCCGAAGCAATTTAAATTAAGTGTTTGCGAATGTTGATTTCAAATAGGAATTACGTAGGCATAATGTTTGTTGCCTCTGTCAATTTTGTGGATAGAAAATAATATTGTTCATAGTCGATTTAATTTTAAAATTCGAAGGTTTAAGCGTTTCTCCTATGCGTGTAGTTGTGACTTAGAAATTTCGTTGTACGAATTATCTTTTTTTAGCTCACCAAGTATTATTTAAAAGTAAAACAGTGAAATCCTATGTTATAAAATGTTTCGTTAGTTGAACACCTACAAACGTACGTTTAGTATCTAATTAGTTTACGCATAACCTCAAGCAATTATTTTTACAATAATGATACCTACTTACGAAAATTGTTAGCTAAATGTACTTAATACAGGTTTAGAATAAATACTACAAAAATACAAAATAAATACTTAAGTACCTAACTAATAGTTTGAGCCTGTTCAAGTATGAATGTCGAGGTCATATTTAAAGGTCAACAAAGTTCACGCTTGTATTAAAATTTGTACGCTCTTTGTTATCTTGTTGTTAAATAAAGACTTGATTTTAGTAAGAATGTAATATATCTACATTTTTATATGTTTAATGTACGAGAAGAAGCCTTAAGTTTACTTAAAAACTATGTAAATAATGGTACCCATGCACTTAGATAATGTAGGTAAGAAACATTGGAACTGACATATAATTTACACATATTTTGCATATCTATACTATAATCATCACTATCACTTATATTAAAAGAGGTAAGATTTGTAAGTTTGTATGTAGGGGGTAATCTTTGGAACCGCTGGTCGGATTGCCAAAAGTCTTTCACTGATAGATAGCTACAAGGTTCCCGAGTGCTATAGGCTATCAAACATCACGCTACGATCAAATGGAGCTGAGCAGCGGGTGAAACCGCGCGAGAGTAGCTAGTTTTTTATATAGGTACTCGTAAGTGTGATCAAGCCTCCTTTGTTCTATAAACTAAACATATTGTGTTTCACCCGATAAACACATGAGCATTCCCGAGCACACCATGCCATTGTGCTCGTGGCTCACAAATCACGGA